TATAAAGGCATTCACTTCACCACCATAATCATAATTAAATAATATAATTTATTTTAAGTCTTCTAAATCAGAAGATTAAAAACAAAATAGAAGCGAGGGTCCATCTCCCTCATCCATTAAAAATTAATTATATGAAAAAATACTTTGAAATGGAGGGAGTAACTCACAGAAACCAACCATTCGCCCTTGCTCTTGCCGTGATTCTCATTTCTGGCACCAAGCCAAAATAGTTGGAAAGCAAGTAGGTAAGCATAAAGAACAGCATCCAATTGAGGATGACATTGAACAAAAAAAAGTATAGTTGAGGGACGACATTTATACCGTATGCCGAGTAGAGGGATGACATTGAATATATTCTTAGTAGAGAGATGATAATGAACATTTTTAGAAAGTACAAGGACTACAGTTGACTTTAACCTTAAAAAAAAAAGTTAATAATTGAAATCATTTTGTCTGTTATGCGTACCACTACCACCTTACCACGGGCTTATCAAAAATCTCACTTGGGTCATTCTCACCAAACACGTGTCCACCTCTCTGACACAAGTTTATGTATTACATTCCTTTATATAATATTCTTTTTATTTGTTTTTAATAAATTTAATTTAATTTTCTAATTTTAATTAAATAAAAAAATTAACAAAAATTATATATATAAATAATAATTTAAATTTTTTATATATAATTTTTGTTAATTAGTTTTATTTGATTCAAATTAAAAAATTTTAAAAATTAACTAATATCATGTTAGTCCGAATAAAAATAACTTGATTCCCTCTAAAAAAATCTCAAATTTAAATTTTATAAATGAAAAAATAAAAACAATTTCTCTCATGTGAGGTTCGACTTGATTCAATTATGAATTAATAAAAGTTTAATGTGATTATTGGATATCGAAAAATTAATTTAAAAAATTATAAAAAATTAAAATATTTTTATAATTAAAATATGAATATATTATTTTATAATTTAAACTATTTTAAATTATAAAATAAAAATCCTTAAATAAAAAAGAAGATCCTCGTATTAAGAATCCTTAATTTCTTCATTTATGAGGTAATATTTTATTATTTAAAATAATTTATATTATAAAACAACTTTTTATTAAAATTAAAATTTAGCACAAAAACCAGGGTAATAATGTAATTGGTATATACAAAAAAAAATTGATTAATATGTGATTTTTTTAAATATAATTAATTATGATAGACTTTTAAATTTTAATCAATTGTATACCCAAAAAAAAATTTCTTTTGGGGATTTTAAACTAGAAAGTATTTTCCAACTATATAGTTAAAGATTTGTTTAATATGTGATTCCACGGATACAAATTAATGATATATTAAATATATTTTTATTATAAAATTATATTAAAAAATAAAATTTATTTTTTATTTTATTAATTATCTAATTAAATTTATATATTTAACATTGATATAAAAATTATTATCAATATTTATATTTTTTAATGTATATTTATAATAAAATACTATTCTTAACCTATATCTTTAAAAAAATGTTCGAAAAACCTTTATATATTATTTCTAATAAATTTTATCTTGAATTATTTTTCAGAACCAAGTTTATATACTTTTTTGCGTGACTTGACAAGATAACTATAGGCACAAGCACTTTGGCATTTCGTCCAATTACATCAGGTCATATGTAACTGTTTTTTTTTTTTTCATGGCAACCGTTTGAATCGAACCATTACGACGTTAAAAAAAAAAACTATGGGCACAAAGGCAAAAGCCAAACATGCCGGTGAAAGTTAAAAGGAACTTTTATTGTCAAAGGCCTGCGGTTTTAACCAGAAAAAGTGCTCTGCAATTCATATCAATTTCTCTATACAATTCTCTTAGGCAAAAAAGGAAAAAGCATGGATAGGAAATTCCAGTTCAATCAAATGCCTGACAACCTCCATTCTTCCTCACCTTAACCTCTTCGGCCACGCTTCTTCTTCCACCTGTTGAGCAGAGGCTGAAAAAGGATAAAACGAGAAAATCGTCAGCTTTTCAAGATTTTTTCTTAATCCTGTCTCCTTCCTCTGTGTCAAACTCATAATTTGCAGAATTCCAAGATAGAAGAAGAAGACAAAACAGGTACTTCATTTTTTTTTCTTGGAATAAGCAAGAAAAAACATTGTTGTGGACTTTTTTATTTTTTATTTTTTTGCCTATTCTGGTAAAGGCATTGTTTCAACCTGAACTATGGTGCTTTTCAATGCTTTTAAGGATAATGAAAACAATGGAGCAACAATCAATAAATTCAAATACTAAATCCTTGTTAAAATAACTTCGAATTTCAAAAAGATTTAGTATTAGGAAGGGAGTTGATTCATCATCTACATTCAAAAGTTTTTTTTTCCCTTAATTAGTCAGGAGATTTCCAAAAACAAAAAAAAAGTAGCAAGGAGTTTATTCGTCTTCTACATTCAAAAGTTTCATACACTTTTACCGTTAGCAAGTGATGCACTAAAATCACCCTTGATAAGAGAGTGTTAAACTCACGACAATTGTGTTTAATTAAGTATCAAATAATTAATTTAAATTTATTTAAATAATTAAAAATTTTAATTAAAAATAATAAAAAAAATTAACAATTAAAATCACACTAATCAGGATATGAGGTATAAAGGCATTCACTTCACCACCATAATCATAATCAATTAATATAAATTTTGGATTATCAAATTTTTAAATGTTATTACATGTGATGTTGGATTTTTCTAAAGTAATTAACTTTCTTAAGTCAAATTAATCCTTCAATGGTTTGTTAAATTAATTATATTTCTATATAATTTTAAACAAACTAATGAGCATTAAATTCTATAGAAACCTCTAACTTAAGAAATGAGAGCTCCTAACTCTCTTCTCTTCCTCCACTACTACATGTGAGTTAATTACCTCTCGATCTCATAGTCTAGCACACAGTTTATATTATTATTGGTTTAATCTATGCAATTCTTTCTCAAGTTCATGCATAAATCACTAAATCAATTGAAATGTGATCAGGTTTCCAATGCATTAAATTCAATAATATAAACTTCTCGTACAAATAACTTTAATTGAAAATATAAAATCACAAAATTTATATTGAATTGATTAGGCTATATCGTAATTTTAGTAGAATAAATCAGTTCATAATAAAAATAATAAAATCTAAAATTATAGTTATGAACATTCAAATATCAAACAATAGATAAAAATCCAAGAAAAAACAAAACTCAATTTGAGATAATTGAACTCTTTAATCTTTTATTGTTGAACTCTTTAATATTTTATTATTGAATCTTTTCTCTTGATCTTCAAGAATGCCTAAAAGAGAATTGTCGCCAGCCTCTACCTAGCTCTCTTAATCCTGAATTTAAATAGGTATTTATAGAATTTTATAAATTCTAATTAGAATAGAAATAGGACTTGAAGCAAAACAAGAAGGTTGAAATTTGGATGCTAAACGCATGGTGTCAATACCCCGAATTATGTGTCAACACTACACTCGTGTCGAGTTGCAATTTCTTCAATGGTAAAATGATAGATCTGTCCTCAAGCTTTTGTACAATGAGTACTTAGATCTCAAAACTCAAGATTCATTCATTAAGGTCTCAAAGGAGCGCCCTTCTTCTTGCAATTCAGTCCCTCAACTTTTAAAAGATATTCAATTAATCCCAAAAACTCTTCTTTTATGCATTCAAGTCCTTTTCAACACAAAAAATGAAAATTATGTAAAATCTCATAAAACTCATCTAAATATCAATAATATCAAAGCAACAATTCCACATTAATATGTATACAAATTTAACTCATCAACAAGATTGGACCTTTTTTTTATGTACGAATACAATGAGGATCAAGAAGACTCAACTTTGGATTATATGCTCAATATAAATTAGATAATCATTTTGGGTTTCTAGATTTCCCCTGCAAAGTTGAAATTTTGACCACAAAATCAGGGCCTTAAAATCTTCTGTCCACCGTCGCGGAAACATCAAGTCGTTGTTATTATTATTATACAATTTTACTCCATTTTATAAAATAATAGATGTTTTTAAATATAAAATTTGTATCTTATTTTGTCATATTTTAAAAGATGTAAATATTTTTTAATCTAATTCTATCATTATTTATTAATTTTTATTATTTATATTATCATAAAATAACATGGAATTTCGAAAAAGATATATTATTGGGAAGGGGGTTGATTCATCTTTTACATCCAAAAGTTTCATACACCTTTGCAATGGAAGAATAGGTGCAGATAAATATATAAATTTTATTATTATTTATTTAAAAATATAAAATTTGTTAATTTTTAAGTAAAATAGTAAATTTTTAAAATTTTATTTAAAAATGTTGATTTTATTTTTTATTTAAAAATAATTAAATGACAATATTGATATAATAAATAATTTTTTAATTATCTAATTAATTTTTAAATAAAAAATAATATTAATATCTTTAAATTAATTTTTAACGATCCCTAACATGCAACCAGTCATTGAAATGTAGATGTGTATTATCAAAATTAACTACTCAGTAATTTAATTCCCACTGTAAAAATTTAATTCTTTTTTTTTTATGCCCATTTTATGACTTGATGTAATAATTTAAGTTTCGAGTTTGTAGGCCTCCTATTTACCCATCTGTCTTAGGTCTGCTCACTTGGAAAGTTCATCTTGCTTAATGGCTGCTCAATTGGAAATTTGTTACCCCCATTTATTATTACCCTTTCTTAACCTCCATCTTCATGACAAAGCCACAGTTGGGTCACCCCAGTGTCCTTTTGTAGGGCCTAAGTCACAGTTCAAAGTTCCCTGTTGAGCAAAATATATGGACAGGTATAATTCAAGGGCAGTGTTATTGCTCTTTGTATTTGCATTCCTAAGCAAAGGGTATGCTCAAGACTCAGGTGCTCTGCTCTGTCCATCATAACCTTCGGTGACTCTACAGTAGATGTCGGTAACAATGACTATATCTCCCCACCCTTTTCGAGGCTAATTACCCTTCTAATGGTAGGGACTTCATCAATCACAAATCTACTGGCAGGTTTTGCAAAGGAAAGTTATATCACTGGTAAGAATGAAAAGCACCGAGTTGTCTGTGTTTTGGTCTTTACTAAACTAGCTAGATTTCTTATGTCGCTAAAACACTAGGATTCAAGCCTTATGTTATGCCCCAGCATATCTTAGCCTGAAAGCATCAAGGAAGAACCTTCTAGTTGGGGCCAATTTCGCTTTAGCTACATCTGGCTAAGATGACAAAGCATCTATCATTAAAGTGAGAACTCTATCTTATTATGCATATTTTCATCTTACACTCCTCTGTTCTTCCCAATTTTGCTATTTTGCAGCATGCTATCCCTTTGTCACAGCAACTAGAGTATTATAAGGAGTACCCAGAAAAAACTAGCAAAGATAGCTGGAAGTAGAAAGTCTGCATCCATCATCAAGGATTCCTTATATATACTCAGTGCTGGCAGTAGCAACTTCATTCAAAAGTCAGAACTATCATATCAATCCATTAATCAACAAAGTCCACACTCCAAATGAATATGGTTCATATCTCGTTGGTGTCTTCCCCAGTTTTGTCAAGTTCTATATACACCTTTGTACGCATACTGTAAAATCTGACAGTATAACTAGAACACAAGCACATGGCAAACAGTACTTGCATGGGTTAGGAGCCAGAAAGATACGGTTACCTCTCTGCCGCCGTTGGGTTGCCTTCCGTTAGCAAGAACGCTCTTTAAATGGCATGACAAGGGTTGTGTGTCAATGATCAATACTGATGCCTAACAATTCAAGAAGAAGATCAACGCATCAGCAGCAGCAAGCCTACAAAACTAACTTCCTGGTCTTAAGATTGTGGTTTTTAACATTTCCAAATGATTAAGTAGTAATAGATACCAATAGTTCTTAACAGCAAACCAAGCACAGAAAACAAACAATATTCAACTGCTTTTAAATAAGTACAAGCTTGTGGCTTCCGTATTGGTAGAAATACTATTATAAGATGCGAGTCATATCATTAAGAGATATGATTTATATAATTATGGAAATGAATTTTAAATTTTATATTATATATTATTAGAGTACAAATAAAGATATTTTTAATTAATTTTATATAAAATTTTATATTATTAAATTATTAAAAATTTGTACCATTCCAATTTTTTTGCTTCAATTGTATCAATGACTTTAAATCTTATGATGAGTTTATACTCCAGTGATAATTGAGTGACAAGACTGCTATATGTCACTCTTTTTCAACATTTTAATTTTCTATTAAATTTTAAATTTTGTTGTTTTTTCCAGTAGTAAGACATGATCACTGAGGCAATTCCTTTCAAAGAAGGAAAGGTGAAGCTCTATCCATAACAGCATTTTCCAAAGACAAAGACTAT